CGCCAGCGATAGCGTCAACACGGCCGTTTCGAGAAAAGGTCGTAAAGTTAAACTCCCGATCGCGAACGTCTATAAAAAAACCAGTTTGCGAAACGGGTGGTGGCGTCATCCTGGAATGCTGAGCTCAATAGTTGAACAGGCGAAACGATTCAAAGACCGAGACTTTCTCGAAACGATTGAGCACAAAAAACAACTTGCGGGACTGTAAATAGCGTTTTCCCGGATCGAAACGCCTGGAAACGCAGCATGACATGATTCGTTCGTTCGGTTTGCCTTTTCTGCACGTGGGCCCATGGATCTGCCGTAACGAACCAGGCTGCTTGAAATGCTGCCGCTCAACGTCTCATTCCCCGATTCACTTCTGGGCAACCACATCAGCCTTCATCATGTCGAATCGACCGACGGCTTCACAACGCTTGGCCCTAGCCAGTCTCCTCGTTTCAGCTCTTGCGTCCGCCGACGTTCCAATCTCCGTGCAACACGATGCCACTTATATGCTACCGGAGTCTCGCGGCTTGTCGTGCTCAGGTAACGGAGCCGCGCCTGCGGGTACGAGCTGTCCAATGGCCGGAGACCTGGCCTCTGCCGACTGCCAGTCTTACTTGCTGTCCTACAACGGAGCAACGTGTGTCGCACCGACCGATGCTCAGTGTATCATCGTGATCGATGATACATGGGGATGCGCATTCCCTCAGACGGGATACACTTCTGCTGCCGATGCCGAAACGGCCACGGTGTACAGTGCTAAAGGAGCTGATTATGAACAAACGCAGGATGCGCCGCTCAGCGTAAACTGCGATGTGGCCTCAGACGAAACGACCGCTGGGGTAGCGACCGGATACTATGATAGTGGCACGACCATTGGCAGCTTCGGCGACACTTCTGGAGGAACGACAAAGGGTGGCGCGACCTCCGGTCACTATGGTGGTACTACAACCACGACGACGACGGGCACCAAACATCACTCGGGTGGCTTCGGTGCAACCGTCGGAGACGGCGGTACTACGAATTACGCTACCAACGACGGCGAAAGCACCGGCAACGACGGAGCTCACACCGTTGACAAGAGCTACACGCATACAAACGGCGGTGAAACAACAGGGCACTACGCTCAGCACATTGACGACAACGAAGGAACGTCCGGGCACCACGGTCACCACGGTCACCACGGTCACCACAAAGAAGGCACGACCGGACACCACGTTCACCACAACGAAGGCACGTCCGAGCACCACGTTCACCACAACGAAGGCACGTCCGAAAACCACATTCACCACAACGAAGGCCCGTCCGACCACGACGTTCACCACAACGAAGGCCCGTCCGACCACGACGTTCACCACAACGAAGGCACGTCCGGGCACTACGGGCACCAGGGTCACCACAAAGAAGGCACATCCGCGCACTACCAGACTGGCGCCGAAGGATACGGCACGACCCTAGACTATCTGGGCGGTGGGTACGGCTATGAAGTAGAACCTACGGAACCGTGTGAAGACACCGATGTTTCCACGAGTGGTCCTGGCAAAATACATTTGACGCACGAAACGACGGACTCGTACCCGATCCAAACGATACACCACACTGCGAAAGACCATGCTGGAAAGGCCTACCAGACTGGTGGAGACGACTATACGTTTCAACAGACTCACGTGGCTGAAGACGCCTACCCATCTCAACAGGCTCATTCAACTGGAGAAGCCCACTCGACTGGACAGATGCATTCCACGGCTCAGACTTATTCTGCTGAACAGACCCATCTGCTTGATCGCATTCATCCGTCTGAGCAGATGTACTCAGCCGAGCAGACTTACTCGGCGGACCAGACTCACCCGTCGAAGCATGTGTACTCTGCCGAGCAGACCCACCCGCTTGAGCTGGTTCTCCCGTCGAAGCATGTGTACTCGACGGATCACATGTACCCAGTCGAACAGACTCACCCGTCGAAGCATGTGGACTCGTTCAAGCATGTGTACACGACGGAGCAGACGCACCCGACGAAACAGACTCTTCCGATCCACCACGATTACTCCATTGAGCAGACCCACTCGACTGAACAGACTCACCCAGCTAAACAATCCCATCAAGCTCATGATACCCACGACGCCTACCTGTCAACCCCAGCTTACAAGACGGATCAGACGGACGTTTCCCCCGATGTGATTCCTGACATCGTAACGCTGGTCCCTGATATCCTGACGCTGGTCCCTGATGTCCTGACGCTGGTCCCTGATCCTGACGCTGGTCCCTGATGTCCTGACGGTCGTGCCAGACGTCCTGACGGTCGTGCCAGACATCCTGACGGTCGTGCCAGACATCCTGACGGTCGTGCCAGACATCCTGACGGTCGTCCCTGATATCCTCTCGGTCGTCCCTGATATTCTCTCGGCGGTTCCTCATATTCTCTCGGCGGTTCCCGATGTTATCTCGGCGGTTCCGGGTCTTTTGAGTGAAAATGCGGTGACCACAGATGTACTACGTGATATTCCGACGCCGCCTGTCGCGCCGACGGAGGCTACGCGCTAAAATGGATGGGAAGATACTGCTTGGCTGCATATTGCCTCTGTAGTCAGCTCAACAAATGCATACCCCCATAGTTGCTGGTGGTCTACTGGTTATACTAGCAAATGATATTCCAGTTGCCACGAACGCGAGTTTCGCTTTGATGTTCGGAGCTCAATCTGTGTCTACGATCCTACTGATTGGTTGCACCGGGCCTATGAAACCTTGGGCTTTACCGCCGACCGCTACAATGTGTGGTATACCGAAATAGAGGGTACACACCGGCAAAGTCAGCGTCAGCTCAACCATACCGGCGCAAACGCTTTGTTCAAGTTTTATTCCCTCTTGCTCCTCCAACAAGCACAAGATGTAACTTGCACACGGACCGTCAAGCAATGTTACACCTACGAACTAGTTTGGTGTATGTCTTCCGCGATGGGTTGACAGCAACAAATATTAGTTCCGCTGGCCGATTCTGCCAACTACATCTGTGGATCCCCAGTACCCAATCCTTTCCATTCGTGCCTCCGCAGAGAATTGGTGTATCTGGTTTACGTGGTTGTTGTGGGTCGCGAATCGATCCTCGACGGCGTACAGACATGTGGAGTGAAGATCATGGTACCTCACTGGAACAAAGGACGGCTTTCATATTATCGGGAGCATTTGGTGATGTTGGCAAGGGTACGCACTCATGACTCACTCCTGGTCAGAGTATCGTTTGTCCATATTTGAAAGGTTCCCCATAGCGTAGGTCGCTGTTGGCACTGAAAAATACGATAAAACATGCGTGACTAGCACAACAAGCAATACTTCCAAGGATGAAGCAACATTTCAAAGGATGGAGCAATATTTCCAAGGATGAAGTAATACTTCATATCGGTCATCGAGCCCAAGAGCTCAGCATCGCGAAGAAACGCACAGATCACGAGACCCGTGCAGCGTAAATTGGTAGTCGAGCGGGAGAGCTCTATGGCTGAATGCCATCGTGGACGCGACGAAGAGCGCGTTTGTTCTTGGAAGTAATTGCACGATGCATCACGCGCTGAATCACGGCGGACGCAAGAAACACCTTGATCGACAGTTCAATGTTTTGGTTGACCATTGCTTCATGTCTCTTCGTGTCGGGGCGGTCCGATGACCTGCTGAGTGTATTACAACAAACGACAGCCGTTGGTCTGCTGAGTATTCCGTCACCGCATCAATTCGTCGGTATCTTAGGCTGCACGTATGCGGCAAAGCAAAAGCACAGTCCGATCTGCCCAGAGCGACATTGGGATGTTCGACGCTAACGAAGGGTGCTTGACGATTGAAACAGGATCTTCGGTGTTTTGTTGCTCCGTCTCAAATTCTACTATCTGGTGTCACCGCACCGATGCTCTGGTGTCCCCACGATCTGCTCGATAGTGTCACCCAATCTACTCTCCGGTGTCACCCAATCTACTCTCCGGTGTCACCCAATCTATTCTCCGGTGTCCCCACGATCTACTTGCTGGTGTCCCCACGATCTACTCGCTGGTGTCCTTCTTGCCGTACTCCTCTGCATGCTCGTGCAAATTCAGATTTTCGTTCTATTTACTCATCGAAGTTTATCGCATCGACCAGACTTGGTGCACCGGTCGATCGTGCACGTGCGGTGATAATTCAATCGACCTCTAGATAGCCAACATGCATGCCATAAGACCTCTCGCACCTTCGTCACGTAGCGTGTATCCATCGATCGGTCGAGTACGGTGGCTGTCGTACCAGCGACGTGATCAAATGCGCTCACGTCCTACTGGATTTGGCATATGTAGCTGGGCGAAAGGCGTAGAAGGGCGAATCGTACTTGCTGAATCATGCCATCTTCGGTGGACACAATACCCGCGTGTATGCCTTTCGTGCGCCAGCGGTACCACGCGCTGCGAATCTCTCATTCCTACATCCGGCTGCATGCACTGCACAGTGTGAGATGACAAGCATGAGCATGGCGGTACACCACCCTTTTCTTGTGCAAGCGTTACCATCGGGTACTAAGCTGATGGCAATGTCTGTGCGAGCGCCAACTTTTGAAATCGAATGAATGGAAGCCGAAGTGAATCTGCCGGCAAGCTGGAAACGATGACCCGCGGCTGTGAAAAACGATCGGACCCTTTCGATCGAAGGAGCATAGGCAAGAGAGAGGGACTCGCACAAGCGGCGGACCAGATGCTTGCAGACCTTTCGAAACGGGTGGTGGCGTCATCCTGGAATGCTGAGCTCAATAGTTGAACAGGCGAAACGATTCAAAGACCGAGACTTTCTCGAAACGATTGAGCACAAAAAACAACTTGCGGGACTGTAAATAGCGTTTTCCCGGATCGAAACGCCTGGAAACGCAGCATGACATGATTCGTTCGTTCGGTTTGCCTTTTCTGCACGTGGGCCCATGGATCTGCCGTAACGAACCAGGCTGCTTGAAATGCTGCCGCTCAACGTCTCATTCCCCGATTCACTTCTGGGCAACCACATCAGCCTTCATCATGTCGAATCGACCGACGGCTTCACAACGCTTGGCCCTAGCCAGTCTCCTCGTTTCAGCTCTTGCGTCCGCCGACGTTCCAATCTCCGTGCAACACGATGCCACTTATATGCTACCGGAGTCTCGCGGCTTGTCGTGCTCAGGTAACGGAGCCGCGCCTGCGGGTACGAGCTGTCCAATGGCCGGAGACCTGGCCTCTGCCGACTGCCAGTCTTACTTGCTGTCCTACAACGGAGCAACGTGTGTCGCACCGACCGATGCTCAGTGTATCATCGTGATCGATGATACATGGGGATGCGCATTCCCTCAGACGGGATACACTTCTGCTGCCGATGCCGAAACGGCCACGGTGTACAGTGCTAAAGGAGCTGATTATGAACAAACGCAGGATGCGCCGCTCAGCGTAAACTGCGATGTGGCCTCAGACGAAACGACCGCTGGGGTAGCGACCGGATACTATGATAGTGGCACGACCATTGGCAGCTTCGGCGACACTTCTGGAGGAACGACAAAGGGTGGCGCGACCTCCGGTCACTATGGTGGTACTACAACCACGACGACGACGGGCACCAAACATCACTCGGGTGGCTTCGGTGCAACCGTCGGAGACGGCGGTACTACGAATTACGCTACCAACGACGGCGAAAGCACCGGCAACGACGGAGCTCACACCGTTGACAAGAGCTACACGCATACAAACGGCGGTGAAACAACAGGGCACTACGCTCAGCACATTGACGACAACGAAGGAACGTCCGGGCACCACGGTCACCACAAAAACACCGGTCACCACGGTCACCACAAAGAAGGCACGGCCGGACACCACGTTCACCACAACGAAGGCACGTCCGAGCACCACGTTCACCACAACGAAGGCACGTCCGAACACCACGTTCACCACAACGAAGGCCCGTCCGACCACGACGTTCACCACAACGAAGACCCGTCCGACCACGACGTTCACCACAACGAAGGCACGTCCGGGCACTACGGGCACCAGGGTCACCACAAAGAAGGCACATCCGCGCACTACCAGACTGGCGCCGAAGGATACGGCACGACCCTAGACTATCTGGGCGGTGGGTACGGCTATGAAGTAGAACCTACGGAACCGTGTGAAGACACCGATGTTTCCACGAGTGGTCCTGGCAAAATACATTTGACGCACGAAACGACGGACTCGTACCCGATCCAAACGATACACCACACTGCGAAAGACCATGCTGGAAAGGCCTACCAGACTGGTGGAGACGACTATACGTTTCAACAGACTCACGTGGCTGAAGACGCCTACCCATCTCAACAGGCTCATTCAACTGGAGAAGCCCACTCGACTGGACAGATGCATTCCACGGCTCAGACTTATTCTGCTGAACAGACCCATCCGATTGATCTCATCCATCCGTCTGAGCAGATGTACACAACGGAGCAAACTTACGCGGCGGACCAGACTCACCCGTCGAAGCATGTGTACTCAGCCGAGCAGACCCACCGGCTGGACCAGACTCACCCGTCGAAGCATGTGTACTCAGCCGAGCAGACCCACCCGCTTGAGCTGGTTCTCCCGTCGAAGCATGTGTACTCGACGGATCACATGTACCCAGTCGAGCAGACTCACCCGTCGAAGCATGTGGACTCGTTCAAGCATGTGTACACGACGGAGCAGACGCACCCGACGAAACAGACTCTTCCGATCCACCACGATTACTCCATTGAGCAGACCCACTCGACTGAACAGACTCACCCAGCTAAACAATCCCATCAAGCTCATGATACCCACGACGCCTACCTGTCAACCCCAGCTTACAAGACGGATCAGACGGACGTTTCCCCCGATGTGATTCCTGACATCGTAACGCTGGTCCCTGATATCCTGACGCTGGTCCCTGATGTCCTGACGCTGGTCCCTGATATCCTGACGGTCGTGCCAGACATCCTGACGGTCGTGCCAGACATCCTGACGGTCGTGCCAGACATCCTGACGGTCGTGCCAGACATCCTGACGGTCGTCCCTGACATCCTGACGGTCGTCCCTGATATTCTCTCGGCGGTTCCTCATATTCTCTCGGCGGTTCCCGATGTTATCTCGGCGGTTCCGGGTCTTTTGAGTGAAAATGCGGTGACCACAGATGTACTACGTGATATTCCGACGCCGCCTGTCGCGCCGACGGAGGCTACGCGCTAAAATGGATGGGAAGATACTGCTTGGCTGCATATTGCCTCTGTAGTCAGCTCAACAAATGCATACCTCCATAGTTGCTGGTGGTCTACTGGTTATACTAGCAAATGATATTCCAGTTGCCACGAACGCGAGTTTCGCTTTGATGTTCGGAGCTCAATCTGTGTCTACGATCCTACTGATTGGTTGCACCGGGCCTATGAAACCTTGGGCTTTACCGCCGACCGCTACAATGTGTGGTATACCGAAATAGAGGGTACACACCGGCAAAGTCAGCGTCAGCTCAACCATACCGGCGCAAACGCTTTGTTCAAGTTTTATTCCCTCTTGCTCCTCCAACAAGCACAAGATGTAACTTGCACACGGACCGTCAAGCAATGTTACACCTACGAACTAGTTTGGTGTATGTCTTCCGCGATGGGTTGACAGCAACAAATATTAGTTCCGCTGGCCGATTCTGCCAACTACATCTGTGGATCCCCAGTACCCAATCCTTTCCATTCGTGCCTCCGCAGAGAATTGGTGTATCTGGTTTACGTGGTTGTTGTGGGTCGCGAATCGATCCTCGACGGCGTACAGACATGTGGAGTGAAGATCATGGTACCTCACTGGAACAAAGGACGGCTTTCATATTATCGGGAGCATTTGGTGATGTTGGCAAGGGTACGCACTCATGACTCACTCCTGGTCAGAGTATCGTTTGTCCATATTTGAAAGGTTCCCCATAGCGTAGGTCGCTGTTGGCACTGAAAAATACGATACAACATGCGTGACTAGCACAACAAGCAATACTTCCAAGGATGAAGCAATATTTCCAAGGATGGAGCAATATTTCCAAGGATGAAGCAATACTTCATATCGGTCATCGAGCCCAAGAGCTCAGCATCGCGAAGAAACGCACAGATCACGAGACCCGTGCAGCGTAAATTGGTAGTCGAGCGGGAGAGCTCTATGGCTGAATGCCATCGTGGACGCGACGAAGAGCGCGTTTGTTCTTGGAAGTGATTGCACGATGCATCACGCGCTGAATCACGGCGGACGCAAGAAACACCTTGATCGACAGTTCAATGTTTTGGTTGACCATTGCTTCATGTCTCTTCGTGTCGGGGCGGTCCGATGACCTGCTGAGTGTATTACAACAAACGACAGCCGTTGGTCTGCTGAGTATTCCGTCACCGCATCAATTCGTCGGTATCTTAGGCTGCACGTATGCGGCAAAGCAAAAGCACAGTCCGATCTGCCCAGAGCGACATTGGGATGTTCGACGCTAACGAAGGGTGCTTGACGATTGAAACAGGATCTTCGGTGTTTTGTTGCTCCGTCTCAAATTCTACTATCTGGTGTCACCGCACCGATGCTCTGGTGTCCCCACGATCTGCTCGATAGTGTCACCCAATCTACTCTCCGGTGT